GCTTCGCAGCAAGCGAATGGAGGTTCGCCCGCGAGTGCCGCCTTGGGGAAGTTGCGCTTGGCGTGGTGCGAAGTTCCTTTCGCTCGCGAGTGCTGGGCTTTAGGTGCTGTGTATGCGGATGGCGCGACGCGAATCTCCTTTCGCTGCGAGTGTGAGGCTTCCTCAAGCGCGCGTCTCGAGGAGCGCGAGTCCGCGCTGGCTCCGAGTTCGGGCCAAGACTGATTTTCTTTGGACTAGGCTAGCGGTTCGATCGAGTGGTTCGGGTAGCTCGATCTTGATCCGGGTTGCTCGTAAGTTTCTCGAAAATGACCCAAATGAATTTTCTTCCCAAAATTGCAATTTGGACCTAAACAACACATCAAAAGAGACGCAAAAATACGGAAAAATACAAGAGCGCATAACACAAACGAAAACACATAAAACACGATAAAATGGATTGATTGACACTAAAACAAGCATAAAACGACTCGAATAAATCACATAAAACACGAGAAAATAAGCACAAAAACACAACAAACAGTTGTGGGCTGCCAAAATTTGACAATTTGGCAAAATTTTCTCTCTATAAATAGAGCAGCGAAATCAGATGAAAACCACAACAAAAATACAACAATATTTCAAGAGAAAAGAAAGAGAAAGAAAGAATAATTAGTCTTTGTGTGTATTTTGAGTTGTGAGTTGTGAGTGGTTTCGAGAGTGTTTTGTGAACACAAGTGTATTTCTTTTTCCCAATAAAATATCTGCAGTAGTCCAGAGACGTAGGCATTATTGGCCGAACTCCGTTATCAATTTGGTGTGTCCAATTTTTTATTTCACTTTTATAGATCTGACTTCATGGAAAATTTCAGCGTATTTTTCCTAACAACTGGTATCAGAGCCAGATTGTTAATTCTGTAATTTTTCTTTGTTTGTGGGTTACTATTCCGTGAATAGTGAAAAACGAGAATAGTGCCAAATTTGTCGGCGCTACGAATTTATCTACCGACGTGTTTTGAAACACGATAGTTCACAAAAAAATTACAGAAACGATCCGGCAGAGAAGTCAGATCAGAGACGAAGTGATGGCTGCAGACGAAGGAAAAATGAAAATCGAAAAGTTCAATGGTGCGGACTTTGGCTTCTGGAAGATGCAGATCGAGGATTATCTGTACCAGAAGAATATGTATCAACCACTCATGGGAAAGAAGCCAGAGGACATGAAGGAGGAAGAATGGAGTCTCCTTGACAGACAAGCCCTTGGAGCCATTCGACTGACGTTTTCCCGCAATGTTACTTTTAACATTGCGAAAGAAAAGACGACAGCAGGCCTCATGAAGGCTCTTTCCAACATGTACGAGAAACCATCAGCCTCAAATAAAGTTCATTTGATGAGGCGATTGTTCAACCTACGGATGACCGTAGGTGCTCCGGTGGCACAGCATCTCAATGAGCTCAACACAGTTACAACCCAATTGAGTTCAGTTGAGATCGAGTTCGATGATGAAGTACGAGCTTTAATACTTTTGTCTTCCCTACCAGAAAGCTGGAATGCTACAGTCACGGCTGTGAGTAGCTCGTGGGGAAGCAATAAGTTGAGATTTGATGATGTCCAAAATTTTGTTCTCAGTGAAGAGATCTGACGGAGGGAGTCGGGTGAACCATCAACCTCTTCTGTATTGCATACAAAGTCGAGAGGAAGAAGTTCAACTAAAGAAAGCAGACATATCAAATCAAAGGGAAGAAGATCCAGGTCAAGAAATCATCGTAGTTCCCAAAACTCGAAGTCGATCGAGTGCTGGAATTGTGGGAAGACCGGGCACTACAGAAACCAGTGCAAGAGTGCACTGAAGGGTCAGGAGACAAAAGAAGAGGCAAATATTGCTACAACCTCTGGGGGAGACACGCTGATATGTTCTTTGGAGAACAGAGAAGTGTCTTGGGTGTTAGACTCTGGAGCATCCTTTCATGCTACCTCACAGAAGGAACTATTCGAGAATTATGTTCCTAGAAATCTTGGTGAAGTTTACCTTGGTAATGAGCAATCATGTGAGGTTGTCGGCAAATGTGCAGTAAAAATCAAGTTGAACAGGTCTGTTTGGGAATTGAAAAATGTCAGACATATTCCCGACCTGACGAAGAATTTAAGCTCCGTAGGCCAGCTAGCCAGTGAAGGCTACACTACAATCTTCCATGGTGATGATTGGAAGATTTCAAAGGGTGCGATGACAATTGCTCGAGGCAAAAAGACTGGTACTCTTTACAAGACCACAGGAGCATGTCATCTGATTGCAGTTGATGCAAATGAAAGTCCCAATCTATGGCACCAAAGACTTGGGCATATGAGTGAAAAAGGGATGAAGATCATGCACTCAAGAGGAAAATTACCAGACCTCCAGTCAATAGAAATTGACATGTGTGAAGGCTGTGTACTTGGAAAGTAGAAGAGAGTCAGCTTTCAGACAAGTAGAAGAACCCCAAAGAAGGAGAAGCTTGAGCTCGTCCACTCCGATGTTTGGGGTCTAACCACTGTCCCATCCATTGGTGGGAAGCAATACTTCGTGACTTTTATCGATGATCACTCCAGAAAGGTATGGGTTTACTTTCTGAAACACAAGTCAGAAGTATTTGAAGCATTCAAGATTTGGAAAGCTATGATCGAAAATGAGACAGGCTTGAAGATCAAGAAGCTCAGATCCGACAATGGTGGTGAATACGTAACCACCAGATTCAAGAAGTTTTGCTATGAGCACGGGATCAGAATGGAGAGAACCGTGCCTGGTACGCCTCAGCACAATGGTGTAGCTGAGCGTATGAATCGAACATTGACTGAAAGAGCCAGAAGTTTGCGTGTGCAGTCAGGCCTACCAAAGCAGTTCTGGGCAGAAGCAGCCAACACAGCAACTTACTTGATCAACCGAAGTCCATCGGTACCATTGGATCACAAGTTACCAGAAGAGGTATGGAGCGGAAAAAAAGTAAAACTCTCACATCTTAGAGTTTTCGGGTGTGTAGCATATGTGCACATCAGTTATCAAGGTAGAAACAAACTTGATCCAAAATCAAAGAGATGTACTTTTCTTGGTTATGGTGAAGATGAGTTTGGCTACCGCTTATGGGATGATGAAACCAAAAAGATGATCCGCAACAGAGATGCCATCTTTAATGATAGAATGATGTACAAGGACCGGCATAACAGTAGTGCCAGAAACTCAGAAGCGAGTGGGCCAGTTTATGCAGAGGTTGAAGATATCCCAGACATTCCTGTAATAAGGAATCCCCGGTCAGAGGAATCAAATGAAGATGGCGGTGAGCAATCAGAACCTTCTACTCCAACTCCTGTATTGATAAGGTCCTCTCGGCCCCATGTGCCTAACAGGAAATACATGGACTACATGTTGTTGACCGATGGAGGAGAACCTGAAGATTATAAGGAGGCTTGTCAAACCCCGGATGCAAGCAAGTGGGAGCTTGCCATGAAGGACGAGATGAAGTCCTTGATCTCGAATCAAACATGGGAACTTGTCAAGCTACCCATGGGAAAGAAAGCACTTCACAACAAATGGGTGTATCGGGTGAAAGAAGACCATGATGGTTCCAGGAGATACAAAGCCCGACTGGTTGTCAAAGGATTTCAGCAGAAAAAAGGAGTTGACTATACTGAAATCTTTTCCCCAGTTGTAAAGCTCAATACTATCAGGACTGTGTTAAGTATTTTGGCTAGTGAAGAGCTCTACCTAGAGCAACTAGACGTGAAGACTGCATTTCTTCACGGAGACCTAGATGAGGAGATCTATATGCACCAGCCTGAAGGTTTTTCAGACGAAAAGAAGGATATGGTGTGCAGATTGAAGAAGAGCTTGTATGGCCTGAAACAAGCTCCAAGACAATGGTATAGGAAGTTTGAGAGCTTCATGCACAAGGAAGGATTCCAGAAGTGCAATGCTGATCACTGTTGTTTCTTCAAGAAATATGAGTCCAGCTATATCATATTGCTACTTTATGTCGATGACATGTTAGTAGCATGATCAAATATGATAGACATCAGAAACTTGAAGATACAGTTGTCGAAAGAATTTGACATGAAGGACTTAGGCCCAACAAAGAAGATTCTTGGAATGCAGATCACGAGAGATAAGCAAAAGGGAGTTTTGCAGTTATCTCAGGCAGAGTACATCAACCGTGTTTTGCAGAGATTTAACATGGACAAGGCCAAACCAGTCAATACACCTTTGGCCAGACATTTTCGTCTATCCAAGGATCAGTCTCCTCAAACAAAGGAAGAAGAAGAGTTCATGGCTAAGATTCTTTATGCTTCAACCATTGGAAGTTTGATGTACGCGATGGTCTGTACAAGGCTAGACATTGGCCATGAAGTGGGAGTTGTGAGCAAGTTTATGCCAAAACCAGGAAAAGCTCATTGGGAAGCAGTCAAATGGATCTTGAGACATCTACGAGGCACAATAGAAAAGTGTCTGTATTTTAGAAAAGGAGATCTAAAGTTACAGGGCTACGTAGATGCAGACTTTGGAGGTGAAGTTGATCACCGAAGAAGCACCACCGGTTATGTTTTCACTATCGGAGCTACAGTTGTTAGTTGGATGTCGCGGATACAAAATATTGTTGCTCTATCCACTACAGAGGCTGAGTATGTAGCAGTGACGGAAGCCAGCAAAGAATTAATATGGCTTCAAGGATTGTTAGCAGAGTTGGATTTCACTCAAAAGGAGAGTGTCTTGCACAGTGACAGTCAGAGTGCAATACATCTGGCAAAGAACTCAGTGTTTCACTCCAGAACTAAGCACATTGACATACGTTATCATTTCATTAGATCTCTGCTTGAGGATGAAGTGTTGACATTAAAGAAGATTGTAGGAAGCAAGAACCCAGTAGATATGCTAACGAAGGTGGTGACCATTGACAAACTGAAGTTGTGCTTAACTTCAGTTGGTCTGCTAGGTTAACAGACCGGAGAAGACTACTGCAGTAATTGATGTGTGAGGACAGATTGAAATCGGTCCTCAAGTAGGAGATTGTGAAGTCAAAATGGGGCTGTGCCCCTTTATTTTGAAAGTGGCCAAAGGAAGAAAAAAAAAAGGTTGGTATGGAAAATCAAGTGGCAGCTTTTAATTTGCCGTAAGTGAGTTGTGGGCTGCAAAAATTTGACAATTTGGCAGAATTTTCTCTCTATAAATAGAGCAGCGAAATCAGATGAAAACCACAACAAAAATACAACAACATTTCAAGAGAAAAGAAAGAGAAAGAGAGAGTTAAAAATAATTAGCCTTTGTGTGTATTTTGAATTGTGAGTTGTGAGTGGTTTCGAGAGTGTTTTGTAAACACGAGTGTATTTCTTTTTCCCAATAAAATATCTGCAGTAGTCCGAAGATGTAGGCATTATTGGCCGAACTCCGTTATCAATTTGCTGTGTCCAATTTTTTATTTCACTTTTATAGATCCGACTTCATGGAAAATTTCAGCGTATTTTTCCCAACACTTGCTGGGTTGTCGTGGGTGTTGGTGGAATGTGTCTCTAACTCGAATCTCGCCTGTATGAGGGATCTGTGACGAAGGGCTCCGATTCTAGTCACCCTGTCCCTTCCGTCTCTGGTGTTGGACGGGGGGGTAATCGCCAGCGAGCTCGGGCTGAGGACTGGGATTCAAGATCTGGGCTTGATCTTGTTGGTCTGTTGTGGCTGGTTGCAGGTTTTGGTCTCTGGGTCTCGGGTGTCTATCTGAGCACGAGTTGTATTCATTAGTGTTTTGGGCCAGTTAAGAGTTTAGTTTGCAGTTTCTAGTTCGAGCTCCTAGACCGTAGCCCTGTCCATATGGATGGATGTTCGTTGGTGTTTGTCGTGGGATGACTTGGTGTGGTTGTTTGTTATGGGAAGAGTGGTGTTGTTGTGTATTTTCTTTTGAGTTCTAGGCGTTGTTTGTGTGTTGGCAGTGTTTTTCTTTCTTTCTCTCCCGTTGAGAGTGCGTTTTGTGTATTCTCCTGTTGGGAGCTTTTGCTTGTCTATTTACCTATTGGGAGCTTTTGTTTGTCTTTTCCAGTGTGTATATGTTGTGGTATGTTTGGCTTTAGAGCACTCGGTTGTGTGTGCCTCTCTCTATTAGAGTCAGTTGGCTCTCGGGTTGTATTCATGTTCATCTCGTGATATAATATTCTCTGTCATTTCAGAAAAAAATGTTCGGGCTATTAAAAAAAATGTTTGAAATTTTGCTTGTCTATCTCAAGCTTTCATTTGTATGCACAATAGCTTAAAACAAACAACTAAATTTCGATTAAAGTGTTTAGGACTTTATTTTTTGTTTTTGTGAATTAATCGTTGCCAGAATATGATTCTTAATAGTCTTCATTTGAGAAACGATTCAGAGTAGGTCTTCGCGATCATACTCGGCAATAACACTACAAAAGCATCAAAATATCAATATTAAGATGTGGCAAAATATATAGCATACCTCAATGAATAAACTCGAAAAGTAGCTAAAGAAAAATTTGTACTGCAGTACAAATTTTTAACGAGGAGGTCAAGCTACTGCCATGCTATGAAGAAATAAAGAAGAAGAAAGAAAAGAAGAGGACAACAATTACACACTTTTTCTAATCGCGGTTTTATTAACTCGAACGATGTCGTTTTAGCTCAATTTGAACATTAAGATGAATGGCTTTATACGGTGTCATTTAGAGTTAGTATGCATAGGAAATGTATATAAATAAGAGAGCCCCAAATCTGCATGTACGGATTTTTGCAAAATGGAATAGAAAACAAAAGTTCTTCAATTTTCACTTTGATTTACTCTTGGATTTCAACATGGTATCCAGAGCGGGCGATCATGGCATACTAGATCCAGTCTCATCTTAGCTCAATCGCAAGCCAGTAAGTCCTTTCTCATCCTTCGAAGCTACAACACGATTTTGTTCAAAACTCGCGCAGAACATCAATGGCGGACCCAAAACAGGATCCACTCAACCTTTGGATCCGATAATCCTGGTATAGTGCTCGTAACTCATCTATTAGCTGGTAACAACTTCCTATCATGGAAACGAGCGATGATCATTGCGCTTCGAGCAAAAAAAAGTACGGATTTGTAACTAGGGAAATCGCTCAACCTGATGAGAATGATGAAAGATATGATAACTGGAAAAATATAGATTGCATGATACTATCGTGGATTTTGAACTCTGTGTCAAAGGAAATTGGTGAATCGTTCTTGTATGCAGACACATCTAAGGAACTATGGGAAGATATTTGTCAAAGGTTTGGAGAAAACAACGGTCCAATGAGGTACAAAATTCAGAGAGAAATCTCAACCCTAACTCAAGGCAACTGTACTGTTATGGAATATTTCAATAAAATCAAAAAGTTATGGGATGAGTAACTTGCATTGTACCTTTGCAAAACCCTCAACCGAATCAAAATTCTCATTGTAAGGATCTACAAATGTGAAAAAGGGAAATTGATTGCACAACAAGAAGCTGAATCAAAGTTGATCCAATTCCTCATGGGGCTTAATGATGTTTATGATAATGTCAAGAATCGGATTATGTTGATTGATCCTCTACTTCAGTGAATAAGGATTATTCTATGCTATTGACAGTTGAGAGGCAAAGAACAGTTCAAAATGAATATGCAGGAAAAATGGATAATGTGGCTATGATAGCAAAAACAAAAGGATTTGGCAGGGGTTCTATGGTTTTGGAAGAGGTGGAAATAATGGTGGTAGAGGTTGGCAGTCAACAGGAAGAGGTAGAGGAAGCTATCAAAGAATGAGTAAAGAAGAAAAGGCAAGGCTAATCTGTGAAAAGTGTGGGATGTCAGGTCACAATACAACTACATGTTTTAAAATCCATGGGGTTCCAGAATGGTACAAGGAATTTAAGGAACAACAAGGAAAGTCATATGCTAATGCAGCTGAAGTACAAGGATATGTAGAGAAAGGTAAGAAAAAGGGAGAACTGAGAGAGGAAGGAAAACCTATTGATTTAAACTCAGTACTCCTTCAGTTGAATGAGCTTACTAAATACATAAAGGGAAAAGAAGAAATGGAAAGAAAAGTGGACTATGCATAGTTTGTTAGCTTTGCTGATAGAGATGGGGAAGATAATGTACATTATGCCTTGTCAACAGTGAATGTGAATCAAGAAAAAGATTGGATCATTGATACAAGAGCTAGTAAGAACATATGCAAAGACAAAAATGAAATGAGGAATGTGCAAGCACCCAAAACACCAGTTGCAGTTTGTCTCCCAAATGGAAGTCTGAAAAATGTGTATTACAAAGGACAAGTGGAACTAGATAACAATGTGATCTTGAAGGAGGTGCTGTTGGTACCTGACGTCAAATACGATCTTCTTTCTGTTATGCATATGTGCAATGGTAATAAACTGAAATGGAGTTTCAATGCAACAGACTGCTATCTTGAAAATGAGGAGTCGGGGAGGCAATGTGGTTATGGAAAGCTCATAGGTAATCTGTATGTGTTTGATAAAAGCAGAATTGCAGATAAGAAAACAGTACACAACAGTTTTTCTGTTGAACTTTGGCATAGGTGCCTGGGACATGCCTCTCCCACTGCCCTTAAACATCTTGATTTTTTAAAGTCACAGTGTACTGATAAATCAGAAAGGTTACTACACTCATGAGACATTTGCTTTAAGCCAAAGCAACATAGGCTGTCATTTCCAAGGAGCAACATCCAAACACAAGGGTGTTTTGAGCTCATTCACACAGATATATGGGGGCCTTGCAAAGAAGATTCTCTCACTCACACTCCATACTTTCTGACTATAGTTGATGATTACAGCTGAGGAACATGGGTATATCTTACGCTACACAAATCCTAAGCTGCCAAACTTATCAAAGACTTCATTATTATGATCAAAACACAGTTTCAAAGAAAGGTGAAAAGAATAAAAAGTGACAATGGAAGAGAGTTCATTGATGGTGAGCTGCAAGCCTTTCTTAATCAAAAGGTGTGGTGCATGAGACCACCTGTTCCTACACTCCTCAACAAAATGGAGTTGTTGAAAGGAAACACAACATCTACTGGAAGTAGGGAGAGCAGTACTTTTCCAAGCTAATCTTCCAATAAAATTCTGGCCTTTTTCAATTCTTACAGCAGCTTATATCATAAATAGAGTTCCCTCTCAACTATTGCAATGGAAAACACATTATGAGAGGCTACATGGAGATACTCCTGACTATAAGAGAATGAAGCCATTTGGATGTCTTGCTTATGTAGCTAACATTCATCCTCTGAAATCTAAATTTGATGCAAGAGGAAGCAAATGCTTGTTTCTTGGATATGCAGCAGGAAAAAAGGGATATCAGTTGTATGATATGGAGACTGATAATCTTGTTACCAGCAGGGATGTGATATTTCTCGAAGATGCCTTTCCCTTTTTGGACCACCACAGCTCTCAACCATCCACACTACCTCATAGTATAACTGATTTGAACAGTGATGAAGAAACTCACTCACAACATCCTGCAGTACAGTCTAGTTGTGAAGACAATGATCAAGAAACCAGAAGAAGCCACAGATCTAGAAAACCACCTACATGGCATGAAGATTACATTTGTGGGCCAGTGAGCAATATTCCTACTGATATGCCTAATTCTGCAGCTTTCATGTCAAATATTTTGGTGGACAAAGAACCAGTTCACTATGGTGAAGCTAAGAAATATCCTGCCTGGGTATCTGCTATGAAACAAAGAACTTGAAGCTTTAGAAAACAATCACACTTGGGAAATGACTACTTTGCCTACTGGTAAAAGAGCAATTGGATCCAAATGGATCTACAAAATAAAGAGGAATTCAGATGGAACAGTTGAAAGGTTTAACGTAAGATTGGTAGCCAAGGGGTATACTCAACAAGAAGGAATTGATTTCTCTGACATTTTCTTACATGTGGCAAAGCTGGTCACTGTGAGATTGTTCATGACTATTGCCACACACAATGGATGGGCCATTCATCAGATAGATGTGAATAATGCCTTCCTTCATGGCACACTCACAGAAGAAGTGTACATGCTTCCACCTCTTGGCTATCATAAAGGACAAAGTGGTGATGTGTGCAAACTCAAGAGGAGCCTATATGGCCTCAAGCAAGCCTCTAGAGAATGGAACAAGGAGCTGAGCACCAAATTCACTAACTTTGGGATGACTCAATCCACTTTTGATCACTGTTTGTTTACTATGCATAGAGGTACTGATTTCTTGGCTATTCTAGTCTATGTTGATGATGTTCTTCTCACTAGCAACTCAGAGGCTTTACTCCATGACCTCAAGGCTTTCTTACATCATGAATATACTATCAAAGATCTAGGTTCTGCAAAACATTTTTTGGGTGTTAAAGTTCACAGAACAGCTAAGGGCACAGTCCTTTGTCAAAGAAAATATGTTCTTGATCTCTTAGGAGATATGAGCATGCTTAATTGCAAATTAGTGAGTACTCCTTTGCCTTGTGGCTTCAAACTGCTAGCTGAAGATGGTGCTCCTCTTAATAATCCTGAAATGTACAGGAGAGTTGTGGGAATGTTGAGAGTAGATAACAATATAGCATACGAATTAAAAACGAGAAAGTAAATAACACAAGATTTACGTGGTTCGGCAATGTGCCTACGTCCACGGCGGCTGAGGGATCCTTTTATTATTCTCAATTATAACAAATACATCAATACACCATGTATTTATACTAAAACCCTACAAGGTATAAATTTACTTAAATACCTTGGTACGTTCGCTCCATTGCCTGTACTCCGCTCATTTCGCTCGGTCGCTCCACTTCCCTCGCTACGTTCACTCCGTTTCGCTCACAGGCATCAGCCTGCCCCTTTTTTTTGTCAATATATGAGCCATGCCAACAAATCTCCACCTTGGCGAATATATCACCTCCTTAGGAGAACACAATAGCGAGCACCTCTGCGAGACACACCAAGCAGGTCGGGGGTACCATGCAACTCTAGCATGCATAAACATTCAACAAATCCAAGCAATGCTTGAATTTGTCAAAAATAACAGTCTTAGTCAACATATCAGCAGTATTTCTTCAGTATGAACTTTTTCCAACTGAATATCACCAGAAGCAATCCATTCCCTAATCTTGTGGAACCTCACATCAATATGCGTCGTCCTAGCATGATATATCTGATTCTTAGCCAAATGAATGGCACTCTGACTGTCATAATGTACTAGAACTCCACCTTGCTGAATACCCAACTCTCTAACCAATCCAGCAAGCCACACTGCTTCCTTTGCCGCTTCAGCCAAAGCAATATACTCAGCTTCAATTGTAGATAGAGAAACTATAGGCTGAGTATTCGACCTCCAACAAATAGGCCCTCCACCAAAAGTAAAGACATACCCAGTCGTGGATCTTCTATTATCCAAGTCCCCAGCATAATCAGAATCCACATATCCTACAACCAAAGGATCCAACCGCTGATCTCCAAACACAATACCATGTCCCGCAGTGCCTTTCAAATATCTGGAAATCCATTTGACTGCCTCCCAATGCTGTTTACCCGACCTAGACATATACTTGCAAACTTGACCAACAGCGTGAGCTAAATCAGGACGAGTACATACCATGGCATACATCAGACATCCAACAACACTGTCATAAGGTATCTCCACCATATCCTGAGTCTCCTTGTCCAACTTGGGGCACTGATCAACAGAAAGCTTGAAGTGCGTGGTTTGCTAATGGAGTGCTCACCGGTTTTGATTCATTCATCCCAAACCTCTGTAGCACCTTCTCCACATAACCCTTCTGAGATAACCACAGCTTCTTTGATCCTCTATCCCTGTGAATCTCCATCCCAAGAATCTTCTTTGCAGCCCCCAAATCCTTCATCTCAATTCCTGACTCAAAAGGCTTTTCAGATCAACAATATCACGTATATCCTTGGCAGCAATAAGCATGTCATCAACATAAAGTAACAGAAATATCATAGAACCATCACCAAGGCTCTTAGTGTAAACACAACAATCAAACTCACAACGCTTGTAGCCAATCTTTACCATATACGAATCAAACCGTATATTCCACTACCGCGAAGCTTGCTTCAAGCCATACAAGGATTTCTTCAACCTGCAAAATAAATGCTTCTTCCTTGGTTGAATAAAACCCTCTGGCTGCTGCATGTAAATAGGCTCTGCGAGATCACCATGCAAGAAAGCAGTCATCACATCCAGCTGCTCTAAATGCAGATCCCAACTAGCCACCAATGCAAGTACGGCCCTGATCGAAGTATGTCTAACCACAGGAGAAAATGTCTCATCATAGTCAATCCCCTTTTGCTGTGAGTATCCTTTGGCCACCAATCGAGCCTTGAACCTTTCCCTTCCTATTTCTGTTACTGATGACTTCCTGGTCTAAATCCACCTGCAACCAATATCTTTCTTCCCTTTTGGAAGAACATCTAACTCCCATGTCTGATTCTTATGCACGAAATTCATCTCTTCTTCCATGGCAGCCTTCCATCTATCACTATTCTCACAAGAAACAGCCTCTTGGAAAGTACAAAGGTCTACACTAGTGATCGTAAGAGCAAAAGCCACCATATCCTCATAACCAAACCTGACCGGAGCTTGTATATTGGTACGCCTCACTCTATCCCGAGCTAATTTGTAACTCTCTGACACATCAGTTGTGCCAGAAACATCATGATCAACATCATCACGTGTAGAAGTCGAACTCTCTCCCTTATCAAGAACTGCTGGAACATTTTCCAACTCCACCTGTACCTTTTCTACATCTGATCCCAACATAGACTGCTCATCAAACACTACATCTCTACTAATCACCGTCTTCTTCTCAACTGGATCCCAAAACTTGTATCCCTTCTCACCTTTCTTATAGCCCAGAAAGATGCACTTCTTTGATTTAGCATCAAGTTTTGACCTCTCATCAGCAGGAATATGAACATAAGCAGGACAACCAAAAATCTTCAGATGATCAAAACTAACATTATTACCTGTCCATACTTCTTCTGCAACTTTGCCATCCAGAGATGCACGTGGTGATCTGTTAATCAAAAAACAAGCCATACTTACAGCCTCAGTCCAGAAACTCTTCGACAATCCCGCATTCAGTCTTAAACACCTCGCCCTCAGCCAGTGTCTGATTCATCCTCTCAGAAACACCATTCTGTTGTGGTGTTTTACGCACTATAAAATGCCTTTGAATCCCATGCACTTCATAAAATTTCTGGAACTGTGAATCGGTGTATTCTGTACCATTATCAGACCTTAAGTACTTGATCTTCCTACCAGTCTGGTTCTCCACCATATCCTTCCATAGCTTGAATTTAGCAAAAACTTCAGATTTTTGCTTCATGAAATACACCCAAACCTTCTTCGAAAAATCATCAATAAAGGTCACATAGTACACAGAACAGCCCATCGATGTCACTCTAGTAGGCCCCCATACATCTGAATGTACATAATCCAGAATTATTTTTGTCTTCTTCTTCCTAGTCTTGAAACTGACTTTTGTCCATTTTCCCAGTACACAAAACTTGCAGAAATTGAGTTTGCAAGTTTTAACACCATGCAGAAGCCCCCTCTTATGCAGTTCGGTCATGCCATGTTCACTAAGATTGTTGGGTTCTGTTAGGAAC